CCCAAAATCTTATTCCAGTAAATGAGCGGCTATTTAAATTATCGTTGCTTTGGATTTTGATCTAAAATTGAATACAAAACTGTAGGCCTATTGGTACCTTAGGTACCTTATCAGGGTGTCCATAAAAAACATTTCAGGACTTTTAGATATGAATCCTCATAACAAATGAAAGAACAAATTTGTTGAAAAAATTTGGTTGTGCGGGAATGCATATTTACCACTTTGTATTTTATATATAAACATTGTTATGGTTGAAGTTTTTCAACCGATCTTAATGAAACTTTACTTAGTTAAAAAATTAGTAAAAGGTTCATGTAAAACCAATTTAGAATTTAATATACATTACAGTCCTGGGGCACAGAAAACATACTACTATAACCATATAGTAGTATGTTTTCTGTGCCCGGGGCTACAACAATGAATTTTAATAAGCAAACTTAGCCTTATTTTACACCAAAAACGTTATATTTTTTCTATTGTTTGTCATTTGATCTTCTTAATATGGAATTTCAAATCCTAAATTATACATACCAAGGTTTATAAAGATCGGCTGAAAAACTTCAAAGAAAAAAATTGTATGTATAAAAAACAAAATGTGGGATATCTGGGTAAATATGCAATTCGGATATGCCTTAAAACAAACCTTTTTCTTTTTTTTTCTCTTTTTCTTTCTTTTGGTATGAGGATCCATTTCCCAAAGTCCTGAAAGGTTTTTTAAGGACACCCTGTATAACATATTGCAATTACTATCAATAACCTAACAACTATAAACAAATTACAGCAATCTATGTTTGTGCGGGACGCTATAGTGGGAAGCTTGAAGACAACTGGTTGGAACATTCAATTTTGTTTGTGTTACAAAAGAATCGTTGATATTTTCTTTTAACTAGTGACAGGGTGGATTTCAATCAGTAGCCTTACTGTGTAGCCCACGTAAAGGCCCTTTTCTATAACATAATTAGGCTCAATTGTTGCAAAAGGCACTTAGAACAGTATAATTATTACTCTTTTTAGAACTTTTCAAATCGTACTCAAAAATACATTACATACCATGAACAAAAAGGTATTAAGACACTATTGAAAAATACACGACCATCATTACTTAGAAAAACAAGGCATTTATTGTGTGATACAAATAATAAGACTGTCATAATGAAACCTCCCTAAAAGCTTAAAACTAAAAATGACAGTGCTTCACATTAAGAGCATTACATCAATAGGCACTATTCTTTAACATTAATATTAGTATCAATAACAATAGTGTATTAGTACATAAAGTAGTAATTTACAAAAATATTGACATATAAATTGCCATTCAGATGGCATTAGTAAAATTTCACGTACATTACAAAAACAAAAGTAATTTGTAATCCGTTAAAAAACCTTTAATCAGAAATAGTTAAGTGTATATACAAGATGAAGTAGACAAGGCACAATAAAGCACAAAATACAAAATTTCAAATGTATACAAGTTATTGGGATTTTGACTTTTTGATTTGCCTATAATTAATCTAATATTCATTGTATGATTTGTTTATGAAGGTATAAGATATAAATATATTTCACTTGATTACTATTTTAATGCTAGTCAACTTCTGTTACTTCTAATAATATTAAAGTGTCATTTATCACAATTGATTGATGATTTTATTTTCAAAAGTAATAATTGTTTTAAAATGTGTTCGGTATTGCAATACTTTAATATTCTATTAAGCAATTTTATATGATTTTATGTTTAGGGTAAAAATATTTTTGGCTTGAAGAGTATATGGATCAGAATAAAAAATTATAAATATGGCACAAAAACACCCAAATTGTTTCAAAAAACGGCTTTCAACTTTGGCTTTAGTGACTTCAAATCACACCGACTTAAAACATTGTTATTGAGATAGCAGCATGCTGAGGTATGAAAATGATCGATTTAAAATTTGATTAGTTCATGTACTAATTATTATTTGGTTGATTTACTAAAATGTCAACACACTTACATGCGTAGTGTAACACAAGACTATCTACATTACTTGTATGAGATATAGGGGGAACTGAGCCTGACGGTTAGAAGAACGTGTGCCACATGAGCTGTTAAACTACAGTAGTCGGTTTTAGAAGTAATTGTGATCGTCAATTCTGTGTGTATTCGGTAAGTAATAAATACCGTTTGCACTTACACTTTAAAAAACTTTAATAAGTATTTCATTGATCAACTGAATCCTAGATGTTATATATTTGGTTAAAAGTTAACATGTTGACATTTCAATGACTTACTTCATTTATGTTCATAACACAGTAAAATGAAAACTATCAAAATAATCCTCATAAATACAGTAGTGCTCCTTAATGATAGAGCCAGCTTAGTAATGTTTCACAATCACAATGAATAAATAGTCATGATTCACAACTAATTAGTAATTGTGTTTGACATATTTTAAGTGTTCCTAGAGTGTCGTACTAGTAGTGTTCCACATATACAATTAGTGTAATAAGTCCAGTGGGATAGTATGGCACCAGGCAATAATGCCTCGAACCTTGAGCAACAAGTATGGATGAATAGATACCAAATGCTACAAGCATCTGTAAAATTGTGTTGACCCTAAGTCATTGTCATATCATTTTTTTGCATAACAAATTTATTTCTATTGCATACAATAACAAATTAATTTACATTTAATATCATCTACAATTGCATATACCGCAACTATCAAATTAATATAAAGTTTACTTTTTACAAAAAGTGTAAATTAAAAGGTTTCATAGCTGAATAACATGTAGTTCAACTTTATAAAATATTGACTGAACAAATAAATGGGATCAATTGAATGATCGAAAGTTCAATGGCATTTACAATAAAGGCACACTCATAATAAGGTTTTTTCCTAAAGAGAAAGAGCTATGTACAATATACAATTATATATTTAAAACTATTTTATAGTTACAAAAACCAGCTTGCTTTTTAAGTAGGGTTTATTTATAATACTATTGCTTACTAAAAATGTTTTCAACATGTTGAAAAGGCAAAGTACAGTAAAGGCAAGATTGAAACTTACATATCAAAGGTAATCTAACTAAACTTAAAGTAAGAAAAAATACAAACATTTCAAACTACAAACTCTCAAAGCAAAACTGTATTAAACCAGGAATATATAAAAGTGTTTTAAATTTATTCAAGAGTACTGTCATACAATTCTCTTTAAAACTCAAAAAAGCAATTTACAAATAACAATATGTAAATTAATTACTATGAAATGGTAGGTAAAAAAAATATCATAAGTCTTTAGATATCGCTAACCATTACTTTTTGAGTTTTTTTAGCACATAAGTAATGTTGTTATTCATCCAAGTGTTACGAATGGGTATGAAGTATGACAGATTTGATTGTGAAAAAGATTGTTACAATCTTTAAATAGTGCTATCATTAGCTTTTATTATATTCAAACCTTAATTTACATTGTACAGACAGCTAGTAGCTGCCAATTTTTATCACACAGTTAAAACAAGGGGGGGGGGGTACAAAATACTAAAATAGTTTTATTTTGTGTAGGACTAAATGATTCAAATCAAAACGTTGGTAAACTGTTAAGATTTTTTTTGAAATACAAGAAAAATCTGGTATTATTCAGCTTGAGGAATAGAGACCATTACATTAGCCCCACCCTGAATGTAAATAAACATTTTCTTTTTATACTCTTAAGAATTAACAAGTAATAAAGTTTAACACACTATAAGCAGGAGATAAACAGATTAGTATCAGTTGGCTGTAGTAATTATAATTATTAGGAAAACCTTAACTAATAAGAATCGTGGATCTTTTACAATGATACTTTTTCACTGTTTTTATCTTGAAAAATAGTGAAAAGTATTTTAAGATAATCAAATGTAAAATCTTGGGTACCACCAAGATTACTCAACCAATGTATTTTTGTTTATTTGTGGCGTCGTCTTACATTTATTTATATTAATTAGCCATTAGGCATAATTATAAATACTGTACTACTTTAGATTAAAACATATAAAGAGCTATTTTTTCCCAGTCAACTGATTACCAAGTCAAGTTTATTTCCAGTAACATAAAACATCTGCAATACCAGCTATAAAATGTAACAACAAAATGAAAACTCAAAGCTTCAGTGAAAACAGTATGAACAGCATTCAACATTAAACAGTGAAGGGTAAACTAACAGCATAAGACACTAAGACTAAACAGAAAAGGCACAATACTTAGACTACGACTTTGTACAACAAAATGATTGTCACTCTGCAATTCCTTGTGATACGTTAGTTAGCTGCAACATGGTTTGATTAGAGGCTTACAACTACACTTACACCTAACATAATATACACAATAGTACAAGAACGCAAGGCACACGATGGAGGGATTAGTACGAGGCAGGGTTGAGCAAGCAAGTTGACGTTATTGTCATTGTATTGCTTATTTACGAGTTATTGCTGTCTCACCTAGCTGCCGAGTTTGATAACAATTCATAATCATTTGAGAAAAACAACAAGAGTATGTGAACCAAACGAGTGTACAAAGAACACAAAATACTGATAGCTCAACTGCCTTATGTCTTCATGTCTTTGTTGCTGAAACTTGTCGACTTCATTAAGTTCCGAATAGGAAGAAAGGTGAATACTTTTAGAGTTTAAACTAATTGTGTTCAATTACGTAAAAATAAGTTTTATTCATTCAAATTATGTAAACAACAATTATTTTAACGGGTTTGTAATGGATTGGTTAACAGCAGGCTTACCTTACTGGTGAAAATATATGAAAATTCACAAATAAACGCATAGTATTTGTAAACACAAATGTTTTAAAACTTTAAAACCTTAAAAATTCTTGCATAAAACCATTTTTACCAAAAACGTCAAAAGTATAAAAAGTATTTAAAGAGTTAAAATTTAAACTATTAACAAGTAAAAATATTAATCGGTTTAAACCTGCGACAAAGTTTCAAGCAACTAAAGCACAGGATTAGTGAATAAGTACATTAACAACACACTACAAACACAATATACAACTTTAATACTTATCCTAATAGCATTCAAACATCTGTAAAGTAACGCTAACTATTGATAAATTATAATTCCAAATGCAAAATTTAACGAAGCGATTGTTTCAACAACGCACTTACAATAAAACTTAACATAGCAAACAGAAGTAAATAAGCTAGTATATGCTAAAACAAAACTTTCAGAGACACAACTTCCGCGTCGAGTTCAAATATTTAATTTAACTACATAACAATAAGATAAACGCTTGTTTAAACTTAACTTCAACTGTGAACTCTTTTTAATAGATCGTCTTACCTCGTTGAACTGACAATTTTCCAAAACACTTCTTAGAAACTGACACTGTCGGAAGTAATAAAATAAATAATAAAAAAGTGTAAAATGCTTTTAAACAACAAGGGTTGTTTTTGTGATCAAAGCCAGGTAAGAACATTATCTGCCTTGCTGTTTGGATTGATGAGGGCCTGGACATCATCTAAAATGTCGGAAGTGAACTCTTCTCCCAACTGTAACACAAAATGTAACATTTTAGATCTTCCTTTGACATGTTGTAGCTTTGACTAAAGATAGAGTATGATAAAGTAGGAGCTCCATTCTTTTGTTTATGTTTAAGAGTTAAAAAAAAATAACTGAACCACTCACAGCATATTGTGTTGTAAAATGGGGTACGATGAAACTGTCAAGATGCATAGGATTACTTTGCTTTTCTGTTTTTTCCTGAAGGGTTTGATGACGCTTACAAAAATTAAAGGGAGGATAAAAAATCTTGCTACAGGAGTGAATTACAAGGTGGTACCCACAAATAACCAGAATAGTGTTGCCTTAGGCTAAGCTAACATTCAGTACCATCAGCCGCTAGGTGTGTGCAGAACGCAGCTCCCTGCCAGTTTAGTACCACCGCTGCTGATATCGAGCTGTCTGGTTGTGTTCGTCTGTTAGTGACAGTTTTTGTTGGCACCATTTTTCTAGTGTTTCGGTTCTTGGGGTGGCAAGTAATAGTAAACAATGTGCAGAGAGAAGTTTTATTTTCTACTTGGAAAGAATGCTACTGAAACTGTTCTAATGTTCAAAACAGCTAACAAAAACAGCGCTATGGGAGAAACTCAAATGTATGAGTGGTTTATTCGTTTAAAAAATTTTGACATGTCCATTGAAGACAAACCTTGTCTTGGACATCCATCAACTGTCCCATATGGCAAAAATGTGGATCAAAATCTGGATCTGGTAATGGAAGACTGTCGACAGACAATTGATCAATCAATAATAAGTGTATAATCTTGGAGCTCGGTTAAACAGAAGATTTGGGAATAAAAATAGTCGCTGCCGTGTTTGTTCCTTGGGATCTGGATGACAATCAGAAAGAACGGCAAGCAGAAACTTGTTAAGCCCTGAAACAGCAGGGCTTCGTACTGACCCAAATTTTCTGTCAAAGATAATTAATTAATAACTGGTCATGAGTCGTGGTGTTATAGTTACAACCCATAAATATGGCAACAGCCAAGCCAATAGAAGACGTCATTATCACCCCGTCGGAAAAAATTTCAGGTCAAATCAAACATTAAAACAAAGCTGATTTTTATGCCAAAGAGTTTATGCCTAAAGAGTTTTTTATGTTTTTTCTTTCATAGTTTGTTCCCCCAGGTCAAATCATGAATAAGGCCTTCTATTTGGTAGTTTTACGAAGATTGCACAACAGTGTTAGAAAAAATACTTGATCTGTGGCAGACAGGAGACTGATTCTTCCACCATAACAATGCACCTGAAAACACAACCATCGATGTTCGCTCATTTTTTAGGTAACTATAAGGCTGTGCTACCTCAATTACCTTGTTCACCTGACCTCGTTCCTTAAACTTTTTTCAGTTTAAAAGAGGTATGAAAGGACAATGATTCGATCCATTGAAGATGTCAAGAAAAAAAGAAGGGTGGAGCTGCAGCCATCTCAAAAAATGACTTCAAACATTATTTTGAACAGTGGAAAACCCGTTGGGACACTTGCTTCCATGGAGAGTATATGCATAGCTTTTTATGGAGAGTACTTTGAAGGTGATAAGGTTGAAGTGTAAATAAATAATTTGTAAATATAATGTACGGTAACGAAATTCCGGTGTTTTGGGTACTTCGTGGTACATAATCCTGAGAATATAAATTTAAGAAAACAATATTGACATAATGACGCAACTTAGATACCACCCCTTGCATGGCAAATACTCAAAGACTAGCTATGACCTTGCAGCTAAACATTGTTGAAAAAATCCCAACAGTGCAACTATAACAAAGAATATGATTTAGCCTACCTTGACTAACAATATAACATGCTTCCAGTGAAATTATTAGGGAGAAAAATTCCTTCTCTGAATTGAGAGAAGATGAATAAAAATATGTACAGATAAGGGAGTCATGCTACATTAACATGTTTACATTCATTCACAAGAGATGTTTACGAGCAAGCGCTCACCAAAATTAAGTGACAAAGTGGCATACAAAATTATAGCATCAATGTAAAACATGGTACTGGTGAAAATTTCAGTTGTAAAATGTACTTCATCATACTTAGCTACAGTAGTCTTCATTATTCAACCTTCGGTTACCCAGTACTCCTTGTTATCCGATCACCCTTTGGAAGTTCGAGTACCGTGAATTCACATGCTACTTCCCAAGTGGCATGAGAACATGGTGGCGGTTACATCAAGACAACCCCTTTTGCCGATTATAATCGGAAAATACAAGCAACCTTTAGGTGCCTACACTAGACTGAACTTTCCCTTGTTTTCCAAAAAATGCATACCACTGTAGATTCAAAATATCAAACAGTTTGTCAAATACTCATACCTGCATCCCTATGCTATCCCTTGAATCTTAGTTTTATTGTATATGTCCAGTAGCTGAAAGTGAAAGATATGTATTGTTCTATCTTTATTTTAATATTTCAGTAAATATTTGTAATTCTGTTACTCTCCTTCTAATAATCGGGATGGGTTCAAATTTAAAAAAGTTAAGGTTTAAGGTTTAAATTTAAGGTTATAATATAAGTAGTAGTTTACATATATTATGTATATTAATTCCTAAAAGTGTAATTAAAAAGTTTTCAAGGTTATCTTTTTCACAGCTGCCTTGTTTGGTTGGATAATAGAGACTCTATAGTACTGACATACACTTTCTACCAACAAGAATATGTTAAAAATCAAGTAGCAATCAGCACTGTGTGTGCCCGGAACCATGTGATTGATTCAAGTTTTAGTGACTTACTGTTAGTGAGGGGTCGAGCTCAGATATGTTATCAGTCAAAGGAAGGTCATGAGAGTCGAGGGCTGCAATGTCAGCTGCTCCTGGACCGCCACCCTCTGTGGAAACAAACATTTGTTTACAAAACATACCAAAACTACAACTACTTCAATACTAAAGCTGATTTACCCTTTTAAATGGGATAGCTTATGATTTATTTTCAATTTCCTTTTTTAGTAGGATACGTTGATTTCATAAATATTTTAACATGATATAATATCCATATTTAAGAAAAACCAAACTCAATTTTAAAATCCTGAATACCTCCTACGATTGCAGCGCAACAATGAAAATCTTCCCAAGAACCATTGGTCACAGAAACATCATCATAGTCTTTCCCTGATCATGACCTAATCCTAAATCTCCCACAATTGATTAAACATCAGCATCATCTTCCATACTCGTGGAAAAATCCTGCACGGTCACAAAAACAACATCATTGTCTTCCATGATCGTGGCAAATCTTTGAATATCTCTTGTTGTGTGGACATTATTATCGGCTCCCGAGATCAAGTTAAAATGTCCCGCGGTCGTGTGGACATCATCATCTTCTCCTGCAATCACGGCAAAGCCCTAAATATCCCCTGCGGAAACGGAAACATCACCATTGTTTCCTGCAAGGCGACAAAATACTGAATATCTCCATCATCAATATCTTCTGCAATTGCAGCAGTACAATAAATATCATGATTCTAAAATATTTCAACCATCTTACATTTTTACTTGAAAAATTAATATTGAAAATAAATAAAATTTATATATTCCTAAATAAGAAGCCTTTAAAATTTTTTGCATGTCAAAAATCATCAAATTCAACTGGGCTATGTCTAAAGATTAAATAAGAATAAGAATAATTTATTCCATTGATCTTTTTACAAAGAAATAGGACACGTCATATACATAAAATCAAGCATAGATAAATTTTTCCCAAAAACAAACTGAGAACTCATTGCACTGACAAAACATACTAAAAAGTAATCATTTTCACGGAAGACGATGATAATGTCCACAAGACCATGGGGGATGTTCATGATCATTGGAGACGACGATGATGTTCCCGAGACCGGGGGAGATGTTCAACATTGTGACACCATCGTGTGAGACAATGATAATGTTTCTGTTACTGTGTGCTGAGAGAAATTTAGGATTTTGCACAGTGGCGGAAGACAGTGATATTTCTGGTTTAAAATTGGATTGACTAATTCAAATTTTTCATTGTTGCTTTGGTTTTTTTTTTTACTTAAATTACTTTGTGTAAGGACAAGAGAGGGTTGATGTAATACAGCATCAGCATCGAGTATCAATAGATTTTGGTTTCAACATATCTCTAGAAACTCTAGATACTTAATTTTTTTTATAGAGAAGTTGTAAGAGTTTAAAAGTCTCACGTAAGGTAAGAAAATCAGGTAATTAAGATAACTAACAAGTAAGATACACAAGTTATTACAAACCAAACCTTTATATGGTTTCAAACGTTTCTAAGGGATGAATTCTTTAAGTTTCACTACAAGGTTGTTGGATGTTTTAAAACCAATAAGATGCTATAAAATACGATCTACAAATACATACCACTGACGCCGTCCATGTTGTCGTCCATGGTGCTGAGGAAGTCCTCAGGAGTGTGAGGCAGACTGTAGTTGTTGCCCATGCCCAGCCCACTATCAGCAGATTCCTGACGAGCGTGATCCGTCAGTCCAGACAGGAACGGGTCCATCCCTGAGTCTGTTGTGCTGGTGCGCATCATCAGTTCTTGCTGTCAACATAATACAATATCACAGCTACATGTTGACAAATAAACTTTTAAATATAGAAGAATTTTGTATCAAACTGTATTTTAAAGTGAAAACTAGCAGAGAACATAATAAACCAGTTAGTACACAAGTTAGTAGCACTTACAAAATGTGGCAGAACAATTTTAGAAAACTGTCTTTTAAAGTAAATAACAGAGATATTAATGATCACCAAGTTCAAAAATTCTGAATGCAGGAATGTTTGATTGTTTTAAATTAAAATCTCTTTTGGTGATGTTACTAGATAACCTGTGTTACTAGATAAAACTGCAACTTGTAATAAAAATTATAAAGAATGAAAACATCAAGAGCTAGACCTCAATCAGTTATCAGTTAAAGTTAGTTAAAGACTGATTATAAAAATATAAGGCTATGTCGTGAAACATTGTAATGTAATGTTTTCTTTTTCTATTTATTTTACCAATGGATGACATAAAAAAACTCATATGACAGTTAATGACATTTATAAACCGTCATAACTGTTCAATATACATTTATTAAACATTTTTACAACAGGAGTTCCCGGTGCACATTACTTTTTTGTAAATACAGTACCAGTTTGGTGATTCTAAACTTTCCTTGTTCCCTTGTATGTATCTAAAATGTACATCTTAACCCCAGCAAAAAATCGCTCTCTGCTCACAGCATAGAGCTGGCTGTGAGCAAACACTGGTGCTGGGAGTAAAACACAGTTTTTGCTTAATGACTGTCCCTGCGCCTTATTAACCTTATTGACTGTCATCGCAAAAGCAGGAATTGTGGGGAACTGTGGCCGTTGCAGTGGAAAAGGCAGAAGTGTCTCTGACGGACGCAACAGTAGCCTAAACGGGGGATGAATATCCGTGCACCAACTGATGTTCCTGTTAATACTGTACTTCACGATTGTGATTGGTAAGGAGTATAGGAGTTTGGTTCTAATTCTTAACACTATCATCATCAGTGGCAATTCTGCCGACTCGACTCCAGTCTCGACGGCATGTAAACAGATCTGTCGACAGTTTAACACGAATTAGTAGGCCTACTTTTAAATGTATTTTTGTACCGGTAATGTGTTTTTGTGTGTGTCGGAAAGACTGTGACGTGACCATATGGTTTAGAAAAGTTTTGACAATGACGCTTTGACGTCGAAACGCGCGTAAAAGACTTACATGGATCACTTGGCGATCAAGGTAATGCAACTTTATATATATCTTTTCAAAATTTCAACGAAGCTAATTTTTTAGCTGATGTCTATTTGACACCTTGGCACTCTATATATACTCTGGAGTCTCTTGATGACATGGTAAATTCCGTAAATGAAATGATTTTGCAGTTATATGATAAGCACGCTCCAATCATTACCCGAAGGGTTAATTAAGAAGCATCCCATACCTTGGGTCACAAATGAGATCCTCAGGTTAATGGCTCAGCGGGACTCGGTCATTTGCAGAGCCAAGAGAACTAGAGATGTGGGGCTAATGGCCCAATACCGTCAGCTCAGAAACCAAGCAACAATTATTACGCAACTCTCGCCTTCATTACTTAAATATGCTGTTTTCAGATAGCAAACAGGCTTCTTCTGTGCTATGGCGTAATTTTAAAATGTTTGGTCTTGGAAAACAAGAGCAGTCGAACACTCTATCCGTCCCGTTAAATGCATTGAATGATTATTTTTTATCAGCCTCTACTAATTAAAATAGCATAGCTATTCAGAACTATTTAAATGAATTAAAACTACAATGCATTTCAAACAATGCTTTTCCCAAATTTTGTTTCCGAACAATTTTGCAATCTTGTCAGAACCAGTGGCATCAGACGTAACTCGTCTAATAGCTTTAATTTTTCATTTTTCATTCTTCTCTAAGAACAGTTTTTTTTCCAGAAAAATGGAAGTCTGCTTCAGTCCGCCCTTTGAATAAGATTTCATCCCCTAAACTTCCTCAAGATTATAGGCCAATTAGTATTCTTCCCGCTCTCTCCAAGGCACTTGAAAGAGTTGTCCAAACTCAAATATCCTATTTCCTCTCCCAAAACAATATTTTAAATGGTTTACAATCAGGTTTCCGGCAATCCTGTAGTGCTAAAACGGCTTTGTTAAAGATAACTGATGACATACGCCTTGCTATGGATTGTAGCCAATACAAAATCTTAACATTATTTGATTTTAGCAAGGCTTAAGTAAATCATGAAATTCTTCTTACAAAAATCTTCAAAATAATAGATTTTTCTACTAGTTCATTATCGTGGATGAGATCATATTTTCATGGCCGAAAGCAGTGTGTGACTATGTCTGACTGGAGGCAGGTACCTTGTGGTGTTCCTCAAGGATCAATACTTGGCCCTTTACTTTTTACTATCTACATAAACGACATCAGTTCAGTTTTGCAACACGCCAAGTTTCATTCTTAGCTGATGACTTACAAATCTACAAACCCTTCAAAGTCAGTGTGGTGAATGAAACAATTACATTAATGAACGACGACATCAACAGAATTGTTGAGTGGACAGCAAAGAATGGACTAAAACTTAACCCTGACAAAACCAAACCAATCATCATCGGCCGCAGGACAACTCAACCAACTTGAAACTTGACCAAAACTTTTTACATCACATCACTGTGTGCCATACCAAGACAAAGTTAAAAGTCTTCGATACACAACACACTAGACTGGACTGACACGGTGGTTAACACTTTAAAAGGGTGTTTGCCGCTGTCCACACACTGAAGAAGATGCAAAGACTTTTACCATTTCACATTAGCCTCTTACTGATCAAGTCACTAGTGTTTCCTCTCTCCAACTACTGTAATACCGTGGTTAATGATATGACCATGGCTTTGGCAACAAAATTGCAACAAGCTCAAAATTACTGTATAAGATATTTTAATGATGTTCGACGAGATGATCACGTCACACCGTATTACATAAATTCTTCTCTTTTAAAACTATCCGACGTTAGAGAAATACGCAGAAGAGGTGCAAGAAATATCCGCTCTGGTTCATCAACTCTCCAAATTCCTCACCATAAGACGACAGTTTTTAATACTATAATATAATTACCTCATCATAGCTCTGAAGTTTCCGTATATTGCGGTATTTACGGAAACTTCAGAGCTGTGACGAGGTAATTATATTATAGTCATAAATTCACCTTAGGGGCTAAATCATGTCTTTTGAGTTTTTTAATAGGTCATTTACAGTAACAGCATGTCGCCTTTGGAACGCCTTTGGAACCCCCTACCATTCACTATCAGGAGCATAGAATACCATTCCAGACTGACGGCGGCACTGAAAGCGTACTACCTCGATCAGATGACCGTGGCTTGGTGGGATGGCGTGCGTTAGGCCTAGGTGTGGCAAAGAGTGAATGTGTGTGTGTGTGTATGCGTATATTACGGACAAAGATTTATCACTTTAGTTTTTACTTATTATTGTGTTTATAGTTTAAAAAGTGTTATAAAAGTATTGTTTGGTTTATTTTTAGTACATAAGAGGTTAACTGTAAGAAAGGACCATGTGGTCCTAATGTTAGCCTCAATAAAAATGTATTTTCATTTCATTTCACTTTCATTTATTTTCATTTCAAAATAATATTTGAATTTAAAATTCTAAAATGGAATGTTCTTACGTAAATTTATAAAAACTTAAGTAAATAATTCTTCGAAATGAAACAATTTGTAAATATTCAATTAATTTAGTAAAATGAGTTTTGGTCATGTAGGCTGCTTACTAGTGGCCAATAGTGTTAAGAGTACAGAATAATTTGTGTAAATAAACGGTATCAGCATTCTGACACATACTTTCTCCCATAAGTTTGTCAACAACCTTTATCATGTGTAAGCGGTGAGAGTAAATATACGGAAATGGGATTAGTACAATTTTGTTCAGAATTTAAAGGACTACATACTACATTTTTATCAAAATCGTTCAGGCCATTTTTGTGAAAATAGATTTTTCCGTTATTTTATGGGGTTTTTATGGGAAAATAACATAATTTACAATAACTTTTGATACATAATTTTTACAGAAATAGGATTTGTACCATTTTGTTCAGAATATAAAGGACTATAACATACAAAATTTTTATCAAAATCGTTCGGGCCGTTTTTTGGAAAATCCTATTTTTTCCGTTTTTTATGGGGTTTTATGGGAAAATCCCCATTAAAAATCAAAATGTTTTAAATGAAAAAAACTATCAAAACTTTAAGGACCATAACATATTATGTTAAATTAAAACCGGATTTTTTTCTAAAATCGTATTTTTTGTTATTTTATGGGGTTTTATGGGAAAATAACATAATTTACCATAACTTTTGAACCATAATTTTTACAGAAATGGGATTTGTACCATTTTGTTCAGAATTTAAAGGGCTACAACATACTAAATTTTTATCAAAATCGTTCAGGCCATTTTTGAGCAAATTCAATTTTTCCGGTTTTTTATGGGTTTTTATGGGGAAATCCCCATTAAAAATCAAAATTTCAAAAAATGAAAAAAACGCCTGGAGATACTATGGATTAGAACCTACATACCAAATTTCATCGAAATCGGACCACAGGTGTAGTCCCTAGCTCTGTACACATCCAGACACACAGACACACACACACACACAGACATCACTTCGAAAACCACTTTTTTGGGTCCAGGGGGACCCAAAACGGATATATCCACTCAAAACTCAAACTCGAAAATTTTGACGAAAACAATACTTTCTCCATATACTATGGTATAGGGGGAGAAAGTAAAAAATGTGTATATAGAAAAAATGGCTTGTTTGATTAGCCACTTAGATCATGTTGATTTGAAAAGGTTTATGTTATCAATTTCTCTAAATAGAATAGGAAGTTTATTGAAAAGTTTTAATTGTAAATATTTATGTACCGTAGTTATAAGTAGATGAGTTTGTTTATTTTTGTAAAGTTTTATACTATTCGTTAAATTTGTTTGCTTTATCTTGTGTTTACTCCCTGTGTTGTCCAATATACGCCCTATAGTTTGACACCCTCATAGTCCACAAAGTGTCGAACTATCGAGGTTTTACTGTATATTAAAATACAAATATTACATCTGATAAATTTGCAGATTAGCTTAATTTCACCTTTATAAAGAACAAAGACAAGGTTGCTTTTGAGTTAAAAATTAAATTAATAATACCTCGCTAACCAGAGCTAACACCTCTACAAAGTTATAAACGTTTAACAATCATAGCAAACTATTGTATTTTTAAAAGTATGCCCATCTATAGTGAGATTTCCGAAACTAAAACTCAAAACTGAGATTTGCAGAGACAGTGATGAGGGAAGAGGCCTGGTGGTTGAACTCTGCATGGTTTAACACGCCATTCACACTGACATTGGGCCAGTCACGGGTAATCTCCAATCGGAGACTACTTCACAAAGGCTCACCAATCATAGCTGATGCATCGTCATTTGACAAAAATAATTGATTTAATTAATTTTTTTTCATATTTTGGATTTTTTTGATAGGTGAACTGTTTTAGAGTTAAGGAAAAGAAACTATTTCAGAAGCTTCTAAATAGTTGAATATACTTAGCCAAAATGATCTATAATGTAACAATATGGTTGGTGTGATCCTAGAAACTCAAGAGGAACTGCAAGAGCTGTGGTAGCAATTTTAATAGTACTTGTGATTTTAATTGTTTATATGAGTTATATAACTTTGATTATGGTACATTAAGGCAAATTTTTCACAATTTCAGATTATGTTTGGATGACAAGACAGAATCATAAAAGCTGTCCTCACAAGTAAAATTTACAACTTCACAAGTGAGATAAGATTAGTGCTGGACAAATGAAGGAAGGAATACCACGGTGTTATTTAAATGATAAGCTTTTAAGTACATAGGCTGGTCTGTTAAAAGAATCGAGAGCATTTAATATAGAAGTATTAACAATATCTTTTTGTCTACTACTGTATTCCACCTTTTGTGAGTCACACTTGTTAAACATAAGTAACACAAGTTTTTCTTGGTCTTTGGGAAATTGAACACTTATTATAGGACCTAAAAATCATAAATGCTGTATAAATTGGTTGAACAATCACATGCAAAGTTCTTCTCACACTCACAAAATAATGAAACAACTGTGCATTTGCTTTGGTGTGGTATTACTAAAACGCCACTCGATAGGGACAGAAAGGATTTTACATTTGACATATTTAAATACACCATATAAATTATTAGGGATGGACGGGTCCCGAAATTTCGGGAATTTTTCGGGAAAAAAATTTTCCCGATTATCGGGACGGGATTACATTTGATTCGGGAATTTTTCGGGACGGGATTTGGTCCGATCGTCGGCGATTTTGCCGCTTTGCGAGTGCCGATGACGCCGCTATTGCGAGCGATAGGTCCGCAAACGCAGTAGACGAAGTCATTTCGACAATCGCGCCGTGTCCGCGGAGTCCTACCGACGATCGCGCCGTGACCGCGGAGTCCTACCGACGATCGCGGCGTGACCGCGGAGTCCTACCGACGATCGCGCCGTGACCGCGGAGTCATGCCGACGATCATGCCGTGACCGCGAGTCATACCGGCGATCACCCCGTGACCGCGGAGTCATGCCGACGATCGCGCCATGACCGCGGAGTCATGCCGACGATCGCGCCGTGACCGCGGAGTCATGCCGACGATCGCGCCGTGACCGCGGAGTCATGCCGACGATCGCGCCGTGACCGCGGAGTCATGCCGACGATCGCGCCGTGACCGAGGAGTCATGCCGACGATCGCGCCGTGACCGCGGAGTTATGCCGACGATCTTGCCGTGACCGTGGAGTCATGCCGACGATCATGCCGTGTGACCGCGGAGTCATACCGACGATCACGACGTGACCGTGGAGTCCTACCAACGATCATGCCGTGACCGCGAGTCATACCGGCGATCACCCCGTGACCGCGGAGTCATATGACGATCACGACGTGACCGTGGAGTTCTACCGACGATCGCGCCGTGACCGCGGAGTTATGCCGACGATCTTGCCGTGACCGTGGAGTCATGCCGACGATCATGCCGCGTGACCGTGGAGTTCTACCGACGATCGCGCCGTGACCGCATTATTGGACCGACGATCGCAACGTGACCGCGAGTCATAACGATGATCGCGCTGTGACCGCGATTATTGTACAGACAATCGCACTGTGACCGCGGAGTCCTACCGACGATCGCACCGTGAACGCAGAGTCATGCAGACGATCGCGCCGTGACCGCGGAGTCATGCCGACGATAATGCCGTGACCGCGAGGCATACCGGCGATCACCCCGTGACCGCGGAGTCATACCGACGATCACGACGTGACCGTGGAATCCTACCGACGATCGCGCCGTGACCGCAGAGTCATGCCGACGATCGCGCAGTGACCGTGAGTCATACTGACGATCATGCCGTGACCGCGGTCATTTTGACGATCGCACCGTGACCGTGAGTCACAAGTTTCTATAGATACCTGTATATTGTTACCCATTTTTTTTTTGTTTTTATAGATCAGTACCACAAACGGTAAAAATTGATTTTGTATGTCTTTTTTTGGTAACTGCAATACTCAGACTTTCTTTTTATGCACAGAAAAAATCCCGTCTCGTCCCGTCCCGAAAATCGGGAAGGAAATAAAAATCCCGTCCCGTCCCGTCCCGAACTAAAAATTCAATCCCGTCCATCCCTATAAATTATACTTTCAAAATGCCTAAAGCAACGATAACCACATGGTTTATGACATATTCATTGATAACTCTACAAAGACCGAAGTAGATTTCCTCGCCTTCAAATACACCAGTACCAGAATTTTGTCCAAACTAATAAAAAAATGCTGAATCATCAAAATTTAACAAAACATATGTCTTAAATAACCTCATTATGTGTGAAGAATGGTTACAACAAAACAAAATCTAAATCATGGTTACAGAAACCTAACCTAACCTAACCTAACCTAACCTAACAAAAGAAACACACACGTACACACAAACACCAAAGCACACCTGTCAGCGACAAACCACGCGTACAAGCCCCTAAGACAAACCAACCGTGGCCATACGTTGAAAATCAATATTTTTAAGCTATGGACCTAAGAGATAATTGCAACCCCTCCCCTCCCCATTCCATGCAGGAAAATGTTTCTCTTCCTTCCGCCCCAAACCTCCTGAAAGGGAGTTATGCCCATTTACACCATCTATGTGCTGTGTATACTGACCTGTCGCATGATCTCTTGTCTACGCAGCTTGAGTTGCTCACGCTCCAGTTGCAGTGACTGCAGTCGCAGCTTCTGTTGGCTAATGGAGGACTGGGCCACGGTCGCCTGAGGCAGCCAGGACCCAGCACCTGAGGGTAACTGCACTCCAGAGGTCGGTGGCCTCTGTAGGTGGGCAGCTGTAACAATGTATACATAGTAGAGGGGTGGGTCTTTTAACATTATTTAATCACAACTTTCTTTTCTCCGATTCACTACCATTTGGGTTAGGGTGAGTAATGTTTTGGACAAGATCTTTGGTGTTAATTAGCCGCAAATAACCCCAAGTCCCGCTTAACTGAACTAGTTGGGACCAGTCCCTAATTGTGTTACATTATTTTTTGGAATAGCTTAAAATAAACTAAAATATAAAATAATGAATTTTATTACTGTAAATCACTTTATATTTATTCCACTATCACGGCAACATTGTTATCAATTCTCATGATTAAAGCGACACCATTATCATCTTCTATGATGAGGGAAGTCTTAATATCCGTGTTTAACTACTGCAATCGCATCAGTACACATGATCATCTTTCGTGATCAGTTCTTGTTACACAACAGTCTTAAAAAATAACTAACAGACCGCTATTAAAAAATGCACACTCGGTAGGATTAAATACTAAAACAAACAGAGATCTTACTGTATATTCTTCGTTATTCAGAGGGAGGTGGAAACAATGGAAATAATTCATTCGTATCAAAGCACACTCCTCAGTTTATTATCACTTCAAATCAAATGTTGATCTATATCCAAGCTGAGAAAATTTACACTACTTTTATTTTCAATGTGATTTGTTTTATACGTTATTGAAGGTCTTTTAAAGTTTGATTTTTCAAAAATATATAAAATTCACAGTCAGCTTAAGGTTTTTCTGGTTTCCCAGTCTGCTGCAAGCAATTTATTCAGAAGACAAAGCTTTATTTGAAATCTAACAACTGTAAGCCTTTCTCCCCAACATTTGGATCGAGTAGCGTAACTTTGGTTTAGTATTTTGTGGTTGTTAATACATATCTCAGACTGGACATACCTTTTGTTAGTATTAAAAATATGTCCTTGTAGCATCTTCCTTGCCCACATCAACTATTGCCGAAGAAATACTGAACGTTAATAGTAGCACATTTACAAAGTTAAAGTTGTAACTGTAGAATTACAGTATACACTTACGTATCCGAGGGTCCAACCAAGATGTAGTTCTGGTCTGATGGTTGATGAAGTATGTTTCGCCCTCAGGAGTGGCGGCTTGCTCCCACCCCTCAGGTAAAGGGCCAAGTGGGGCTGGGCTGGTGGCAGGGCTGTTGCCCTTGGCTGAAAACAAACATTACCTTCAAATACAAATGTGGCTCGTAACTCGTAACAGTTCTCATAATGACTATTACCTTAGTTCCATTCAATGCTTCAAGCACCAAGGTCAGATATATCAGATACCACGAGTAACATAAACCTTCATTTACAACTATGTGAGCATTACTCCATCAGTTCAACCCGACAAGAAGTGCACATTGCTGGATAGCTAAGTCAGTCAGGTAGCCGGCTTGATCCTGAGCACAATCAAAAACCTTCATTTTGTGTTTTGCCTTACGGATTACTTCTCAAATAATATTACAAGAGGTTAAATTACCTCATTTCCGTCAAAGTAATCCTTATGTCATCTGTAGGCGACCAACTTTGATGCTTGCCTATGGCATTATTGTCAAGCTAGACGTAGAATGTATCACTCGATGGGGGTCATCAAAAGTCTTAAAAAGCACGTAGTCACACAAACACATAAACACAAATAAAAAACGATAAAACGCATGGCCATGCAAACTGTCATTACTACACTCTATCTCAACAATGATGCCATAGACAGGCATCAAAACCGGTCACCTACGGACAACATAAGGATTACTTTGACAGAAATTCTTGTAATGTTAATCAAAAACTGTTTTATAGTTCAAAACTGGACTCAGCTGTCTTTGCTCATGTAGCTTTTAATGGACGGTCCTGGCTGAAGAAACAGCGTGTCTTAGTCAGTAACAAAGCTACAAGGCATCACACTTCATTCCACACTCATCTGTCACTCGTATTCAAGTTGAATTAAGCTGATTTGCAGCGTCTCTATCTCAATCGAAACGTAATGTGCTGCAGCTGTGCTTTATCAGCTAAGACCTTTTAGAAAACTTGTGCTACTAATCCAGATCATCATTATTAATTTTCAAACTTCTCTACAGGTAAAGAAATTATTTCTTTCGCATTCATAATAAGACCTATATTCCTGAGTTTATTTATTTTTTAGCGAATTTCCCTATAGGGAAGTAGCTATTACCGTAGGTGGCACGGTAAGACCTAGACCCGGGACCGATTTACTTTTTCATTTTGATGTCCCCAGAGGCCAAAAACACCATTCGTTCAAATTTTTATATATGTATATATATATACGTCCGTGAACGCGATAACTTGAGTAATTTTGGTCCGATTTTGATGAAATTTGGTTTAAAGGTGTAAAGCGAGATAAACTTGAATGAGTTCGCAAACCAGCATGATCGGACCATGGGAACGGGGCTTTAGGGGGGGTTTTATGGGGTAAAAATTGGTTTTTCTCACTTTTGATCCTCAAAACACAAAATTTCCCAATTTCTCTTTAGACCTTTTTAAAGACCTTAAAAAAACAAATAATTTAGCATTTGAAAGTATTTTTGTTCGATTATTAGTAACGGAGAAAATTAAAAAAATTGTAAATTTAAAATTCCCATGTTATTCTTATGGAGAATATTGTCAAATGTTGTAATTTGCTTGTTTATGGATATATTTTGATCAAACTTGGCAAATTTATTTATTTTGTACTAAGCTATCAATATTTTACTCAAAAACACACTTTATTAGGTTCCTTGTAGCAGCAAACCTAGGTACTCGTTAAACCTAATGCTATTAAAATATATTTAATTGAAAATCAATTCAGACAAATGGAAATTCGCTTAGTCGGCAGGTTTGCTGCGGCGGGGGTATTTTATCGTAAACTTGTTTAAATAAAAACCTAATAAGGGAACACTACATTTTCACGGCTACAAGTTTACACTGATAGGTATTTAGATAACAAATAATGTTTATAACATTTTGATCAAACATAGTATTTTGATCATTCTGAGTAGTAGAGATTTGAATCTACAAGGGTAAGCTGAAGATAAACAATTCATACTTCTTCCAAGGGAACCTCACAGCCTGTCTTGTCACAATTTGCAACTCTCAGTAATGCTTGGAAACAAGTGAAAAGATCAATTTGGCAACTTGGCTTTGAGAAAGATTTTGAATTATTAGTTAACGGCTAGACAGAACAGCAGACGACATAGTCAGTTGTAGTTCCAGCCTGTAAACCTAACACAGGCCATTTATTACAATGAGGGCTCAAGTGGATCTGACATGCTCTGATACCTTGGATGCTAATTAGAAGAAATGTGGGCAATATTGTCTCGTCAGCCACCGAACCTCCTTTCTAATCACTCCTCTCACCTCGGTGAAAACCACATTTCCATTTTGAACAGATCATATTTTGCAGCTAACAGCACGTAATAAGTAAAAATCATTTGGTGGAAACTGAAAAATCAATAAATCTGAATGAATCCAAATTTCTAAAGTGAAAGAGCAAACATAATGGAAGTGTTTTGGAAAAATCCTTAGAGAACTTTTTGCAACTCTTGCAAATTATAAAGGTTTGTCAAGCTTTAGCTGTCTTTTGGTTTAATGTAACTGGTTGGTTTTAGTTCATCCCATGGTTGTGGTACACAATGTTATATGATATGCCAAAACAGTTTCTCTAAATGTTGTTGTAGAGCAAAATCAATCTGAATCTATACTTATTTAATACGCAAGCAGGTTTTTTGTTTTTACTTATTTAATTACTCCTCCGAAACTACTGAACTGATTGACATGTTTTTGGTGTCATTGGAAAGAGCGTAACGTGAAGTTGTGCAGGAAACTTTCTTTTTAGGGAAATAATTAGAGAGTGAGGCCCTGGGACCCTTTAAAGTTTTGTATCTCTCCATAAGATTAACATGGGAAACAAACATTGTTATGAAATTAAAAGTGAACAGAAGAACATATGTAAATTGTAAAAAGTCAATAAGATTGCTTATTTAACAGTTTGCTACAAACATTTACTGACTTGGTTGAAATGATATATTTACTATTTGAATTTGGGTTAGCGTAAATATTACAATGGAAAAAAGGGAGAGAACGTGGATAATTTGATATACTTAAAAGAAAACTGAATTAACACTGTGCTGCATTTCTTAGAAATCATTGAAAGAGCTGATTTGCAAACTATGGAAACATAGAAAAGTCATAGAACACCACCAAGGCAAAGAAATAGAAATAATGTTTTTTTTTAGAATTTATAATCGTTATTATGGACAACCTAATGCGGCTACGAGTAAGGCTACAAGAATGAGTAAGATATTTACAAGAAATGTTTATTACACCGATCTGTTATGTAGGCCTACATCTTGAGTATTTTCATAATCTTTGAATTGAATATTTTAAAGTCAACAGAAATTGTGACTGTTTTTCGTTTTAAAATAACACCTAGGTAATACTTAGCAATTGGAAATCTGAAAATTTACAAGTGATTAAACCCTACAAACACTTTAAAACCAGCCAAGTGTGTCATCTTACACAATGGAAACAGCTAGACTACACAGTCTAAAGCAAAATATATCTCCTGAACTCCAAAATGTGAATTAGTATTTACCTTGTCAATATGCTCAACCATTGTAAAAGTTGTATTACTACACAAACAATGAAGGTGGATAAAAAGCTGGTAGTATCAACAGGATGGAGTTATGAAAATCGATAACAATCACCCGTGTCGTATCGATCAAATATAGACAAGTTCTTGAAACCTCAAGCCTACTAGGGCCTCCATAGAACCCCATTTTAGCGAATTTCCCATATAGGGAATAAGCTATTACCGTAGTACTCATGGTAAGACCTGGACCCGGGACCGACTTTTTTTTCGTTTTGAGGTCCCTAGAGGCCAAAAACACCATCAGGGTGTCCACAGAAATTTTGTCATCAATTTCCCTGACTTTCCATGACTATCCATGACCATTAACCATTGATTTCCATGACTCACGAACTTAACTCAAAAATTATAATATACCGTACACACACGAATAATACTGCCTAGACAAGTTATTTTACAGAAAATATTGAAATAAGTATTAACAGATAACAATGGAGTACAATAGGTACAACAATGAACTAATACAAACTCAAAACCCATAAACTAAGACAACTGTATAGATTGAAATTGTTGTACATTTGTAAAAAATTCGGAAAAATGCTACAATAGTCGCGGTTACGGCCGACTAGAGCATTGAAAGGTCCCCTGAAATCCATCCATCATTGGGGATTTCCATGACTTTCCATGACTTTTTGCCTATTTCCATGACTTTCAATGACCATAATTTTTTTCCATGACTTTCCATGACTATCCCTGACTTTCCAGAATGTGGACACCCTGACCATCCGTTCAAATTCATATATATATATATATATATATATACAGGGTGACAAAAAAGTCTGGAAACGGTTTAATATCTTTTTAACTAAATCCGTTAGAAAATTCAACCCTTTCACATCAACTTACATGTATAAAAACTACTTTTTCCAAGAATTGTAATTTTTTTACCTCTACCAGGGGACGACCCATGAGGAGTAGGTACATAATCTTTAATGTAAGCATAGGTTGATATGCACATCATTTTAAAGGTCTGGTCAAGTGGAGTTCATTGCCGGAAACCGCGTCAAAAAGGGTTCATCCGTTACAAAATGGCGGCTGTCCAAAGTTCTTGTTGAATATACCTGCACAGGCCTTACTATTGGTAAATACTCGTATTAAACATTAGCTTGAGAGCTAAAACTGTATTTTAAAGTCAACTAGCTCGTAGACTAATATTATTCAATCTTCAAAACAAATTTAAACGGGTTTCAGATTTCCCGGCTAATGTTGAATATGAGTAATTTACCAATTCTAAGGCCTCTGCAGGTATATTCCGCAAGAACTTTGGACTGCCGCCATTTTGTAACGGATCAACCTTTTTTGACGCGGTTTCCGGCAATGAACTCCACTTGACCAGACCTTTAAAATGATGTGAATATCAACCTATGCTTACATTAAAGATTATGTACCTACTCCTCATGGGCCGTCCCCTGGTGAAGGTCAAAAAATGGTAATGCTTGCAAAAAGTAGTTTTCTTACATATAAGTTGCTGTAAAAAGTTTGAATTTTCTAACGAATTTAGTTAAAAAGATATCAAGCCGTTTCCAGACTTTTTTGTCACCCTATATATGTATTATTAAGCAAATCAAAATACCACAGTACCCTAGAAACATTTTGTTTTATATTACTTACATGTTTCGGACATTAATGCCATGATCACAGTATAGTATATAACCTATTAGTTTCTTTTATTTACAAACATTATTAGATATTTCTTATTAAAGAACAGGTGATAATTTTTATATTAAGGGAAGGAGGTGTTTTCTTTAAGATGTATAATTTCATTGAATATTACGTTTTGATTTTGAATTTGTGTCAAGTTTAGTAAATTGTCTTTGTCATTAATATGGTGAGTATAAATATAAAAGTCTTCCTTTGTATTCATTTTTTCTCCTTTATTTTCAATATCCAGAATGTGCATGTTTTTATTCATTTCTGAGTATGTATGGTCGGTCTGAAGTATATGTTCGGCGTATGAGGATTTTTGTGTTGTCATATTGTTTGATCTGATTGCCTGTATATGCTCTTTGTATCTGACTTCAAATGTTCGACCTGTTTGACCAATATAGTATTTTTCGCAGTTGTTACATGATAATTTGTAAATTCCTGATTTCTTATATACATTTGGTGGGTTGGGTATCGGATTTGTTCTTTTTTGTATTATGTTAAAAGCGTTATTCCTTGTTTTATAACTTAGTTTAAATTTTGAGTTCGGTAATGTCTTTCTTAAGGTTTTGTTTAAGGATGAGCTGAATGGAATACATATAAATTCTTTCTTTACGTTTTCTTGTTCTTCTACTTTCATTCTTTTAGTTTTTTCATTTTTTATTAATTTTTCAATCATTTTTTCTTTGTACCCATTTGTTCCTGCAATTCTTTTTATAGTTTTCTTTTCTATTTCAAAGTTGTCTTTAGACATTGGTATGTTAAGTAGTCTAAATACCATTGATTTGAATGTAGAAATTTTGTGTTGCCAAGGATGGTTTGACTCAAATGGAATGATTAGGTCAGTTTGGGTAGGTTTCCTATATATATTGAAATTATGTCGATCGTTTTCTTTAGTAATTGTTATGTCTAAGAAATTTATCTTCTTTTCTTGTGTCTCCATCGTAAATTTAATTGTTGGGGAGATAGAATTTAAGTATTTCAAAAAATCTTGATATGAGTCTTTATTGCCGTTGTATAAGCATAATATATCATCGACATATCTATACCAATAGATTATATCTTTTTTAAATGGATTTTCGTCGTTTATGATTTTTGATGATTCTAGATGCTGCATATATATGTTTGCTAGAATACCAGAAAGTGGAGAACCCATAGCCAATCCTTCTAATTGTTTGAAAATTTTGCCATTGAATTCAAAATAGCTTTGATTGATTGCTACTCTAGATAGTTTCATAAGATCATTTAACTCATTTTTTGAAACCTGTTTATTTTTGTTTAAAGTTTCTTGAAGGATTTGAAGGGTATCTTTTGTAGGAATATTTGAATACATATTAGTTACATCAAAGGAGATAAAAATTGCATTTTCAGGTATTAATTCATTATTAATACAATATAATAATTAATAATTAATAAGTATAATAATTAATCCTACAAAAGATACCCTTCAAATCCTTCAAGAAACTTTAAACAAAAATAAACAGGTTTCAAAAAATGAGTTAAATGATCTTATGAAACTATCTAGAGTAGCAATCAATCAAAGCTATTTTGAATTCAATGGCAAAATTTTCAAACAATTAGAAGGATTGGCTATGGGTTCTCCACTTTCTGGTATTCTAGCAAACATATATATGCAGCATCTAGAATCATCAAAAATCATAAACGACGAAAATCCATTTAAAAAAGATATAATCTATTGGTATAGATATGTCGATGATATATTATGCTTATACAACGGCAATAAAGACTCATATCAAGATTTTTTGAAATACTTAAATTCTATCTCCCCAACAATTAAATTTACGATGGAGACACAAGAAAAGAAGATAAATTTCTTAGACATAACAATTACTAAAGAAAACGATCGACATAATTTCAATATATATAGGAAACCTACCCAAACTGACCTAATCATTCCATTTGAGTCAAACCATCCTTGGCAACACAAAATTTCTACATTCAAATCAATGGTATTTAGACTACTTAACATACCAATGTCTAAAGACAACTTTGAAATAGAAAAGAAAACTATAAAAAGAATTGCAGGAACAAATGGGTACAAAGAAAAAATGATTGAAAAATTAATAAAAAATGAAAAAACTAAAAGAATGAAAGTAGAAGAACAAGAAAACGTAAAGAAAGAATTTATATGTATTCCATTCAGCTCATCCTTAAACAAAACCTTAAGAAAGACATTACCGAACTCAAAATTTAAACTAAGTTATAAAACAAAGAATAACGCTTTTAACATAATACAAAAAAGAACAAATCCGATACCCAACCCACCAAATGTATATAAGAAATCAGGAATTTACAAATTATCATGTAACAACTGCGAAAAATACTATATTGGTCAAACAGGTCGAACATTTGAAGTCAGATACAAAGAGCATATACAGGCAATCAGATCAAACAATATGACAACACAAAAATCCTCATACGCCGAACATATACTTCAGACCGACCATACATACTCAGAAATGAATAAAAACATGCACATTCTGGATATTGAAAATAAAGGAGAAAAAATGAATACAAAGGAAGACTTTTATATTTATACTCACCATATTAATGACAAAGACAATTTACTAAACTTGACACAAATTCAAAATCAAAACGTAATATTCAATGAAATTATACATCTTAAAGAAAACACCTCCTTCCCTTAATATAAAAATTATCACCTGTTCTTTAATAAGAAATATCTAATAATGTTTGTAAATAAAAGAAACTAATAGGTTATATACTATACTGTGATCATGGCATTAATGTCCGAAACATGTAAGTAATATAAAACAAAATGTTTCTAGGGTACTGTGGTATTTTGATTTGCTTAATAACATTTAAAGTAGCCCTCATTGATGTATACAATAACAAAATATATATGTATATATATATATATTTATATATTAAATATTTGAGTGAATAAGTACAACTGAGCACCCTGAATATTATATTTTATAAAAAGAAGTGACATGTTTCGGACATTAGTCCATTTTAAAACTTCAAAATATACTAAACACTTATATATATATGTGTCCGTTAGCGCGATAACTCGAGTAAAAATGATCCGATTTTGATGAAATTTGGTACAAACGTGTAAACCTACGTTTATTCGAACGAGTTCGCGAACCAGCATGATCGGACCATGGGAACGGGGTTTTATGGGGTAAAAATGGGTTTTTCCCATTTTTGACCCAAAAAACATCAAATTTTGCAATTTCTTTCTAAACTATTTTGTAGAGCTTAAAAAAACAAATAATTGAGTATATTGAAGCGTTATAATGCGCCTAATGGTTACGGAGAAAATTCCAAAAAATTGTAAATTTAAAATTCCCATGTTATTCTTATGGAGAATAAGTAAACTGTTGTAGTTTGCTTGTTTATTAACATATTTTGCCCAAATTTGGAAAATGTTTTTATTTCTTACTAACAATTAACATTTTACATAAAAAAACACTTTTACCCTCCCTGTTGCAAACCTAAGTATGTGTTAAACTGATTCTATTTAAATAGGGATAAATGTGATATTTTTAAGGAGACATTTTAGTGTAAATCCAATCAGGCAAATGGAAATTCGCTTAGTTTGCAGGTTTGCTGCGGCGGGGGTATTTAGTGTCTACAGTAGTAAGATTTTGTATGAATGTAATTCAAATGCTTTGAGAGAAAGCTGTCCAAACCCCTACAACGGTCAAACCCCTACAACGGTTTTGTGGATATGCCAAGAGAAGCTATCCCTCCCCCATTGAAGCCAAAGATGATAGCCACTAGGATAGCAACACATCCTTTAAAAGAATCTTATTCGTTCAGGTTTTTGCATTTGCTAGGTGACAAACCTGGATGCAAGGCAAAACTATTAACCTGTTAAATTATTTCACTTGAACTGCTGTGATATCGCAGTATTTACCTGGAGGTTGTGGCGAAGTAGCAGCAGCTGGGTGGGGTGTGTTTAGCAGTTCTGCGCTGCGTTGTTGTTGATTCGCAACTTGCGCTGCTATCGTCTTGCGTGGGTCTTCCCATGTTGTGGTGCGTGTGATGTGGCTGAAACATAACAAACCATAAGTAACCATATAAAATCTAACAATTCATTAAACAGATTATTAATTGGATAATTCATTAGTGATCAGTTTTGTCATGAATCTTATCGATAAACATGTTTAACTTGGTTTTGGATGGAAAGAGCAGACTTGGTCAATAACAGGGAAGATAAGATTGCTATCCATTGACAATATCAATTTTGTGTGTATTTATTTATGTGTGCCAATTGAGAAGACTCACCCACTGCACAGGTAAGCCTGCTATTTCTATCCAAAACAAAATCAAATCTTTTCTGGCCTAGAGCCATACCTTATTGATAAAACTGTTCAGAACAGCACTGATTAGTACAGAAACTGATTAGTACGGCACAACATTTAAATCAAAAAATCCAACTGAAGTGTCCTTTAAATCAAATAATATTACCGATATTGACATGGTCTAAGCTGATGATCCTAATCAATCAAATACTAATCATCAATATCACTTAGGCCTACTTAAAATCAGCACTAATAAAAATATCAAAAGCGGTTCTTTTGAATTACCATTACACATTTGGTTAGTGGATATAATATTACTGAGCATGAGCATGTTGAATACTTTAATTATTAATTTTTACCTCGGAAAGTCCCTAACAATATTGACTATTGTAGAAAGGAAAGTTTTTACATACTTGAATTAGCACAGTTTTAACTAATGGGCATATTTTTAGCTGGAAATGAACTGGAGAGTTAGTAAAGAATGAGGTAAACTTTATGATTTAACTAGCCAAGGTTTAATAGGTACTTCATTAGCCAAGGTTATTTCTCAGCAAACAAGCTATTGAGTCTATGTAATATGTACAGTATGATGTAAGCCCTTTAATGTCAAATAAATTCATCTATAAACTACATTACTACATAGCATGTTTATTATAAGTCCCAATAAAAAAAATAATACCCCCGTCGCAGCAAACCTTCATACTAAGCGAATTTCCATTTACCTAACACAGGCCTGATTTCTGACGGCTTGATTTCTACTCAAATATTCCCTATAAATTTTCAGATTTATTTCCTATATCATTAATTTTAGTGAGTAGTTAGGTTTGCTGCTACGGGGAAGATGTTGAGGTGTGTTTTTTCAATTGAAATATTGATAGCTTAGTAGAAAATAAATAAATTTGCCAAGTTTGATCAAAATATATTCATAAACAAGCAAACTACAACATTTTGACAATATTCTCCATAAGAATAACATGGGATTTTTAAATTTACAATTTTTTTAATTTTCTCCGTTACTAATAATCGAACAAAAATACTTTCATATACTAAATTATTTGTTTTTTTAAGCTCTTTAAAAAGGTCTAAAGAGAAATTTGGAAATTTTGTGTTTTGAGGGTCAAAAGTGAGAAAAACCAATTTTTACCCCATAAAACCCCCCGTAAAGCCCCGTTCCCATGGTCCGATCATGCTGGTTCGCGAACTCATTCAAGTTTATCCCGCTTTACACCTTTAAACCAAATTTCATTAAAATCGAACAAAAATTAGAAAATTACTCAAGTTATCACGTTCAAGGACGTATATATATATATATATATATATAAGTCTATATATATATATATACATATATAAAAATTTGAACGAATTGTGTTTTTGGCCTCTGGGGACATCAAAATGAAAAAGTAAATCGGTCCCGGGTCTAGGTCTTACCGTGCCACCTACGGTAATAGCTACTTCCCTATAGGGAAATTCGCTAAAATGGAAGTTGCTACACTTGATTAATAGTTTGTTAAGGCTAAGTGGACGATTAGTGTGTGACATTTTCATATCATTTACATAACTAACAGAGTCCTTTAAACCAGTAGCAACTAACAAGTAAGTTACATAATGTAGCCACCCTCCTCACCACCACAAACACCTACCTATAGCGTGTCTGTCACCATGACAACACATAGAGTTTACATAACAGTGAGTCACAACACAGTGGTAGAGTTGAGAGAGACAAAGTGCAACCTTTGCAACATTACGCCACCATGACCCCAGCACCCAGCACCCACACAGACTTCGAACTCTAACCTTATTCTCTGCTATTGATAAAACCTTTTGTTTACTTGCCTACTCTTATGGCAACACAATCCCATGAAAACCCTCTAAATCTAACTGAAGTACTAAATATTTGTTTTGAATAGTTTTTGTGAAGCTGCATGACTTGTAGTAGGGTGACTAAATAAATAATTTTTAGAATTATCTTTTCAAAATATTTTAGACTATTTTGATACTACAACGTAAGTAAATTTCACATGCATTTAAGTCTGTAAATTAAAAGGAAATACAAGTTGAAACTGACATAACTTGACAGTGTGATCTGATGTGTACTTTATGATTCAGGTGATACACTCTATTCAGTAACACAATCAAGAAAGTGTTCACCAACAATCTTCTAACAATTTACTTGATTAGAGATTCTACAGTTCAATGATCCTGCTATTAGCTAAGCAAAAATACACTTCCTTTAACATTGTTAGGGCATTAATTGTCACTAGGGCAAAGTCCTACGGGTCAAACACACAAAGGCGCACCTAGGGATTAAGCGCTTTCACTTAACACCAAAGGTGGTTGGTTCCCAGTAAAGGTCAAAAATGAATAAATACTATTGATAGTCTAGATACAATAGCCAAAGATGCCGCTATGTACAATAGTATATTACGTTACTAGTCCTGAAAATAGGTATTTACGAGGTGTGGTTGTTCCCGTGCGAGATGTTTTTTTTCTTTACAGAGACGGAGTCGAGTACGGGATTACCATATGAGTCCGGTAAACACATTTTGGACGAGTTACGTATGCTATTTTACGCCATACTACTAAATCCGTACAGATCCTCATATATTACCACCAGCTAAAAGGCTAACAATCACTGTTTTTAATTTTGTTTATAAACTAACCACTCTCACTCATTGTCAAATACAGTATAATCAGCTGGTTGCTGTCCGGTAAAACTCATTACAGTACAGTAGTACGCAATGAACCCCATTTGATTAAGCTGACCGCAAACAGATGTTTTCTGGACTAAATCCTTACTTGGGAAGTTCGTCAAAACAGTGTAAAGTGGTGACAAATAACATTTTAACCCCATTTCACAAGAGTTAATTAAAATTAGATAGTGCAACCAAAAAGTATGTATATTTTTGTATATTGTTCCTATCTATTTATTTTTCCAAATGACAAGAACTTGTCGTTAAAAGCATTAATAGTACTACTCTCATTAGTCATTATCGATAGAATAAAAATCAGATATCGATATCGATAAAGAAGCAAAGTGGTCGTGGAGGACTGGATTCAACCCACAACAATCAACGGCTTTTATTAAGGAGATAATGTGACTCAGTAAATATAAACCCACTTTATGTATACTTAACTCTATCCCTGTTGGTCACTTCCATAAAATTAACTTTCTGAGTTTTAAAGACCTCCAATACAGGTCATGCTATAATTTTAATTTTGTTATGGCCTACATACGTAATAAATATGGGCTAATGAGTTAATTATTGATGCGAAGTGTGGGTTGTCTAGCGACACCAGTAATTGTAGATGTAGTTGGATCTTAGGTGATAAAAATGTTCTTATTCACTTACTGAAATTTCAATTTCAATTTCAATTTCAATTTCAATTTTGTCATGAGAGCCGAAACCCCCTGACTGCATACCCGGTACCTATCCTTGAGGACATACCCGGGCCCCATGATGTAGGCCGAAGCTTACGCATCAACCTTTGGCACATCATGGGCGGATGACTTAAGGTCATCAAGCTCACCGGCTGCCGAAGCAGGCCCTTCGGAAAGAGGGTTACTTTCCCTCGCACTTACTGAAATGCGAAAATCAAATGTCCAGTCGCTTGGGCGAGCTCACTTTGAATTGCGCGCGCACACGGCATCGGCAGCGAGGTTCGACGACTCGCCGCGAACTCGCTGCGATCGTGAACGTGGCGCCATTATTGTGACATCTGCCGAGCCGTCGCCTCGCTTCGCAAGCGAACTTTCAAAGATCGTAGAGCCGGTTGATTCTAGATTCTACGTAGTCATCTAATGGACACGATTAAGTTTATTAAGCTTGTTCGCGACCACCCTGTCTTGTATGACACCACTCACGAACATTACCTCAGTACGAAGATTAAGGACTGTATTTGGGACCAAATAGCAACCGAGGTGAATATTCCAGACGGTAAGTCACTTATCACTACTGATTAGGCCTACTGTCGGATGTATGAGTCTGTTTACGGAAATATAAGTTGAGTGTAAAACCATTCATACACTTTAGTAGCACAGGTACTGTAGAGTTGGCCTATAAATACTTACGTAGATCGGTTTACAGAAATATATAGGTATACACCAGTCGTAGGTTATGTAAAGTCACGCATTATACCGTATGCACATATACATATATTGTATGCAGGCTTTACAACCATTTACAGCATGGATGTCAAGTGTGTTGGCAGGAAAATATGTCAACAAAAAGATAGAGATATGTATTGTATGTAACTATTAGGTCAATACAGTATTACAATACAGCGAGCCACCGAGTGTATGCGGAAGAGAGTACGGAAAGAGTACCGGTAAGCCTCAATCGCTTCATTCTAATCTACTTTTCAGGCTATACTGTAGAACTCAAAAACTACGTAGACCATCACCATCATAGTGGGTCGACTTTGGGCCCAGTTTTGCTATTCCGTACTGTATTGTCATTTGAGTTGAACCCGTGGCAACTTAAGGCGAACAAAATTCTTTTCACAATGAAATCATTATTTCACTGTGAAAAGAATTTTGTTCGTTATTGGATGACTATCGTAGGTCATTTGTTGTGACACTATTGACCAAGGAAGACATATCATGAATCTTCGGTGCGTAAGTTTATGGATATAGGCCTATCTAGCTGACAAGAATGCATCTAAACCTATACCTGTATCACCTAACTTCAGACTTTACCCTGCAAGTAGTAACTAAAAATTGTAAGTTAATCTTAAAATTTGTATCTTTAACATTACGATACGCCTTTTTATAACACTAATTAATTTCGAACTTTATTTTTACAAGTGTTTGTATCTGACACAAGGCTCTGAAATACAAATCTAATTTCAGGTTTTTTACCAAAGTAAAACCATTGTTTAACGTAATCTTTCTGCTTACAGTAAAGGCAGCCAAAGTGGAATGGAAGAAACTAAGAGACTGTTACCGTTTGGCAATGAAAAGGAGAACCAGCGAGGAGTTTAAAACACGTCCATGGGCGTACCAGAAGGAGATGCAGTTCCTAGTACCTCACATGACCAAGAAGTACACAATGGGCTTCTTACAATCTAATCAAGACACTGGCGTTCCTGTGGAAGACATTGGCAATGAGGCAAATAAGTCTGTCGAATCTCCAAGAAAGAAAACTAAAAACAACAAAAGTGACACGATGTTAACAAATACCAGCCTTCCCGTAAGTGAAGAAAACGTGGAAATCTTCCTGCCCACAGCTAAGGAACCGGGGGTACTTCAAGAAAACACTGATGACGCGTTGTACCATTTCTTCCTAAGTATGTATGAAACTACTAAAAAACTGCCGTTGAACCACCAGCTGAGGATTCGTAGAAAAATCTTCCAATCCGTCACAGAGGCAGAAGAAGAAGTGATCATGTCAAATTCAAGCTTGGTACAAACCGACACCATCTTGTATGATCCTGCCAAAACCGAATGAAAGACTTGTGTGTAAAATTTGTGTATGGTATTTTAGGCAAGTTTGTAATTTTTAATATAGGCCCTAATTAAAAATGTTTTTTTCGTAAATGCATTTTGTTATTTATTTTGTGTTATGTCTTTGCCTACGTCTGAGATAAAGGCAAATAAGGCTTTCCTTGCTAAACCAACGTTTATTGTTCCCAAACACTTCTTAGGAATATCAAACAACCTCCACACACCTAATACAGCAATGTTTTTATTAATTAGTGTGGTGTTACGCACATAGCAACCCTTTGCAGAATAATCCTCCCAACAACACTTCTCTTTGATAAACAGATAACATAACAAACCAATACAATTTATTCATCTAAAATGTGCCAGTCTCACTTGAGTAATCAAAATTAGAGTACATATAATAAAACCTCGACATGTTAAATTTTGCAAAAACATGACTGAAAATTAAAAATCAATTAGTGTAGAGTGTTGTCGACAGGAGATAGCACAGCGATGGTTAGTGGAGGTCGATGAACTAAGGCCATGGCTTGGTATTGTGAGTCCACTGGACTCTTCTGGGGCCACACAAAACATGCTTCGAATACAAACAACCAAGGCCAGGGACAGCGGTGGAACAAACTCTAGACACCACGACAGTACACAGGGACTTGCGTTCTCGCAAAGGGTTAACGGGTAAACTCGTATGCAAATAAATATACTAAATCTGAGTTTATCATATTTTTATTTTCCTCTGCCTACTTCTAAAAGTAAATGTATATTAATAACCGATTTATGGGGCATAACAAAAGTATCGATGTATAAAGACAAAGACCAATTACTACTACTACTGTACTATTATTGATCAATGATTTGCCTAAATTACAATGTTACAAGTGGGTGTTCACAACAAAACAGAAGTCAAATTTTATGTTAGTTATCAGTGTTGTACTTGAAACCAACCGTTACCTGGGGGGTTTTGTAAAATGCACTTGCTGGGGATCATAAAATATATAAGTAAGTAAAATCATCCTACCCAGTTGATTTTTATTGAAACTAGGGGTTTTAAACCCGGATCTTTAATCCAATCCCGGGATTTGTTCAAGTCGATCCCGGGATCAACTTATTACACACAGATGCGACTTCGGTTGACTGTCCCGCAGGTTTTCAGCCCATTGGAACATAACACATACATGACAACTAGTGGATGGTACACGTTTCTTCTCGTCATCTTCCAACCGAATGTAACCCACAACAAAGCGTGCTGATGGCTTCACACATAGGTGCTGTAACATGTTAGTTGACGGTACAGCTTCAGGCATGTTCCAAGTTCTGCTACAAGGACTAATAAATCTTCCGCTAATTCTAATTCTCCGAATTTTGTCGAGTCACTTCATTCTGGAATCAACTATTACAATTAAGGTATTTATATATTCCCAGAACAAAGAATAATGTTTCAGACCATATTGGTATCAGAGTAACTTACTAGTAGGCTATATGTGTTGAACTCTTCATTTCCCTAAAAATTGCTCACATTAAAATACGTTTGTAACAGCTAAAGCGCAATCATGTCATTCACTTTTTCTCTAACTAAGCATTGATTAGTTCACTGTACATTAAGCTTATTTATTGTAGTACTTTGATTGTAAGTAGGAGAACAACTACTAATACTAGACCATCCGCGATCCCAAATTCAAAAATAAATCAATTCCAGAGCTGCATAAAGGTCTTCAAAGGTTGACTAGTCTGGGTTTTTTCATTGTCGACTCTAAATTTGGCCCTCGCATTTTTCGCTGTAAACAAATGTCTAACGTTCCGAGTTCTGAACCATTCATAACCAAAAAGGTTTATTTTTATATCACTTCAAAGACCACATTTAGGTCATAAGCGATGGAATCATTTTCTCATTATTTGACGCCTATAGATTATCCAATTTTTCGCTATTTACACGTGTAAATCATTCCTAATGTAAACTAAGAAGCTTGTCGCCATCGATGTATATAACCCATAACCTCGATGTTACATCGATGCTTGTTGCTAAGCTTCTCTCAATAACAAAACCTAAATCATAAGCCACTTCAACATTGATCCCTCAAGCTCGCAGTCATTTCATTTAGACCAATTCAAGACACCCAGGATCTATCCAAGCACGTCCACTGTCCAGACTCCAGAGGCTAGACAGTAGACAGAGAGGTGATGTTGGTTGGTTGTTGGATGTTGACAGTAGTGTCAGTGAAGGCAAGGTTGCCGTTGCCAACTGCCGGCGTCGTAAGTCTGGCAACACTGCACACAGACACACTCGTCTGACCAGTCCTACCAACTGGACGCCACCACTTCACCAGCCACCTTACCAAATTACCGTGCTCGGCGCTCACCGTTCACTCTTCACGGATTATTACGTTTGATTTACTTTGCGACTAAACAATACACACTGCTTTCAGGATTTTGAAATAATTATTTAGCCTATCAATCTGGTGCTGATTTTTCACATCGGATTCACAAATTATTATATTTTTTTATTAAAGCACTTTAGAGGTTTAACTAAATCACTGGCATACTCCCGCCTACTGGCTGCCCAATAAAAATCACAGGTAAAAAACTAAATATTTTGTTATTGCATCGTAAGTTTGTTATGAGAAAATAATAGTTCGTATGAGAAAAAATCAGGAGTGAATACCTTATACATTGAAGTGCACTATCCAATTTACCATAGTTTAAGTATTTTACAAACATTTGTTATCCATTCCTTGGTCTCAAAATCGTTAAGACGGCGAAGTCATCTAAACGCTAGATGAATATTAGTGCAAAACATATTAACATTTAACATTAGTGCTATGGTACAAAATATATGAAAAGCCGCATAACAGTATGTAAAAAAAATCATAAATTTGTACTCAGATAATTTGAACGTAACCAAATACCTACAATGATTAATTTCACTACAAGGGTAGGTACAATACATACATCTGCACGGGAAACATTGGCAGGAAGTATAATATTAAGAATGTTCAAAATTATCGTGCAATCCAAAAGTCATCGTGTGAAGAACAATCTTGACCGGGATTAGGCACGGATCGTGGTACTGCACAAGCGCCACCCGTCAGGCGCTCGACTCTCGACTGCACCTCACCTAGTCAGCCAGGAAATGTTTGTTCATTCAACTTCAACGTCGTATCTCTAGTCTCTAGTGCCGCGTATCCATTACATTACATAATCCGGTCATTGGTTTATAACTAACGACTGGGTATGATAATCGCTGTGTGTGCCGTGTGAGGAAGTAAGACCGCACGGTTTCTCCTACGTAGTTATAATATCGTGATGGAGGAGAATGTCGCCAATAATACTGTTGGGTCTGCGAAACCAGTTAACTTTAGAGTACCTACATATTTTGGAACATGTACATATCACAAATACAGTACCTGTTCTTTAACCTTGTTGAATAATCACATGTATGTGACCTCCAGTAAAAAAATAAAATAAAATAACAACGTACAATGCGTATTATATAGCAAAGATTAGTAAAGAAACCCGAACTGCCTGTAAAAGGACCCGCATCAATCATTTTGCCTTCAGGGGGAAGATTAATTGACCGAAGTAAATACATTCAACAATCACAAGCACGAATTGAATTTAAACATACAACACATCACAAGTTGGAATTATGGAATTGAAGTTTTAAGGCTATGCAGCAATGGATAGTTGTTTTGTTCGTGCATAACGAATTCGCCACATCCCACCTAAAAGCATCAACTCCAATGACTCGAATGCACACACTTTTTTCAAACTTACAGTCATGTCTTCGATCAGTTGTTAAGAAGAAATATGTGACATGATGACAAATTACTACTGCACTGGGACCAAAAGAATATAGGCACTCCCTGGAGAGTGAGCAGACAGCTTTTGAATTCAAAGATAGACTCTTGCAGTGGACCGCACAACTCCGGCGGTAGATGTAAACATTACTGTATATTATAATAAAGTGTTGAGAAATTATATTTATTGACGCAATCTAAATATTATACTAAGAGAGACTGCTTGGTTGTTGGTTGCTGCTGTATAGAGAGAGGTAGTTACATAAATGACTGAGACTGAACGACCGTCCTTGTCCTTCCTGCTGCCGCTGGTAGCAGTAGACCGTGTCTGTGGCTGTCTGCCGTCTCTGTAATCTCTGATCAAAAGGTAGATACTAAAAAAAATCAATCATCAATACACACTCGATCTGTAATTGACATCAGATTATTTAGTAATTTCAAATAATTTGAAAAGATAATAAATATATCTATGGTTCTTACCGTCAACGCAATCAGGGGTAGTATTTCACTACGGCCGTTTCGGAGATGACTCCATCGTCAGGTGCGTAGTGGTACACTAAACTATAGTCTTGTCACATTTAACACGAACATTCTTCATTTGCATTGCGTCAGGTGTTGAATAAATAATACACATATATATACAGGACGGACACACGAAAACACTCAAAGTCGGTCGTCAGTTTTCAAGCCGTGCACGCGCTCTAAATGTTTTCGTGTATTCGTGTTTTCGTGTGTCCGTCCTGTATATATATGTGTATTATTTATTCAACACCTGACGCAATGCAAATGAAGAATGTTCGTGTTAAATGTGACAAGACTATAGTTTAGTGTACCACTACGCACCTGACGATGGAGTCATCTCCGAAACGGCCGTAGTGAAATACTACCCCTGATTGCGTTGACGGTAAGAACCATAGATATATTTATTATATTTTCACGCAATCTGCCACACTCAAGAATATAATTTGAAAAGGTTGGTCTCAGTTTTTGCTTTCGTTGCAACAACAAAAAATTACTTCAGTTTTATAGGAAATTGTTCAGATAGAGAGGTTGACTACAAGACTACTTCCCAATAAAATTAACTAACAAATGGACTACTATGGTCCACGAGCTTACTAATTTTCCCAATTCAGACACACCCAATGTGCGTAAAGATCCTTAGACGAGTGGACGTTAAGGATCGGCCCTGAGATCCTTGAACCATCTCAGGACATGTTTCAATTTCCCCGCCGACGTCGA